AATCTCGGCGGACGGATCGCCTTCCCCAGCGAATCCGGACTCTCTTCCCACCCGGGAAGCACAGTCATAAAGGTTTGTTCTCAATCTCGCCCACCTAGGGCCCCGGAGGCTCACCGGCCGCCCAACTAAAAAGGATCCGCGGACGATCCAAATCAAGGGCGTAAGCACCAGCTTAGGTCACCTTGAATCGGTTCCTCAATGAACGGAATACCACGACCCATTCGGAAAAATGTTCGGTTGACAAAAAATTAAGTCCTTCAACCTTACCCGCGAAGAGACCGAAGAAACCCCCCGGATGATTCACCCCGAATCACCCGAGGGATCGGGGACTACACCCACCGGGTGCGCTCGCGCGCACCCTCTGGAAAGGTAACTCCGACGAGATCGAAGAAACCCCCCGGATGATTCACCCCGAATCACCCGAGGGCTCGGGGACTACTGTCGGGGACCTAATACCGGGGTACCCCAAAGAGGAGGAATCAATGCACCATCGAATGGTAAAAACTCCCGAGAGCGCGGCTGTATCTCTTGCCCGAGCAAACAGGAGTCTTGCTCCGCCTCGCCCGACCCTCGAGGGCTGGGCTCGGCCCCACCCAACGGCTGGAGGGCAACTCCGCCTCGCCCGACGGCTGGATAACAACTCACCCGACCCCCAAGGGATACACTCCGCCTCGCCCGACCCCCGAGGGCTGGGCTCGGCCCCGCCCGACGGCCGGGGGACACCTCCGCTTCGCCCGACGGTAAAAGCTAGGTTTTACCTCATCCAACGACCACTGACGGACCTCGTCTTAAACCGATATCCGGAGGCTGGTTCAGCTCACCTGACGAAACGTACCCCGCATCCTCATGATGGTGACTACAGGGTAAGACAAGACATTCGGGTCAACCACAGCGACAGACGCCATGCCCTGCACCCCTGCAGAGAGGTATCGTCAGGATGTGGCAGAGCCAAGCATCTAACCTCTCCAGGCGTGGCAGAGCCCGAACAGTGTTGCGGGCGCCTGCTATTCATCCTATAGTATTGTAGGCACCGCCCGCAACCTCCGGACGAAGAACCCGACGCAGACATACGACAACCACTACATTCCAAGGGCAAACCAACAAATCACCGCCACCCCGACCCCTGGGGTCGAGGCTCGCAAATCTCGTCCGACACGCCGCCGCGCAGGGCGGGATGGGACGTACCCACTTGCTAAACAACAAGGCCATGGCACGCCCACGATGATCTACAAATACACCTCACTCCCACACGGCCCGCCATGATGGATAGGTCAGCGTGGGGAAAGAAGGAAGGCCCGGGTCCCTCGAAGGACCTTCTACGCCTTAGTGCTCTTTTCCTTTGTCTCAAACCCCGCTCCCCTTGACCTATAAAAGGGAGGGCGTGGCTCCCCCCACCAAAGGGGGATCGATTCTCAAACAAAGTTAACACACACACACACGCACACTACACGGCCAAGCTCCAAGCAGAGCTCTTGGCGTCCTTCCAATCACTCCATCGTGGACTTAGGGTCTTTCCTCTCCCAACCGCTTTGTACCCCCTACTACGAACCTCATTCGGTGCTAATAACACGAGCAAAGAACAGATCGGACGTAGGGACATTCGCCCGAACCAAGATATAACCCTTGTGTCCTTTAGCGCACCATCCGGGCCTAACGCGCATCAATTACAAATTTACTCGCCGGTGTTTGTTCGAAACACCGACAGTTGGCGCGCTAGGTAGGGGCCTTTGCGCGTTCCAAACCAGGCCGCGGATGGCTAACCACGACATTAGCTGGGTCCCAGGCGCACACATGCGTTTCGGGAGCCTGGATTTCATCATCACGGGGAGAGAAGATTTGGCATGGTCGCACGCCGCCATCCAATCTCTTCCCTCCAACGGCCATTACCATGAGAGGCTTGGGCGTCAGCTCGACGTCTCCCACGGACCATGGGAGTCCAGGGAGAAGCAACATCGCCTCGCCATCGCCAACGGCGACAGCATGGCGCGACCTTTTGGTGAGAGACACCTCTCTCCGGAACGACACGTACGGAGCGCCTCAACGGCGCTTCCGTTCGGTCTCCGCAACGCCGCGGCGACCGCGAGCCATCTTCTGGCACTACGCATGGTTCTAACGCCCGTGGACAACGAGTTCGTGGGGGTGATTGAACACGACACGGAGTCTCTCCACAAACTCCTCGCCGAAGAGCCAGAGTCATCCTCTAGCTCCGACTCCAGCAGCGGGAGCCATCGTCCTTCCCGGGGATGCTTTGTGACGCAAACCCCCGAGGGACACGTCGAAAGCGTCTCCGGGGAGGAGACTACCCCCGCATTCGACCCCGCCGGGGCAACCCAGAGAGGAGCAGCCGCCCCGCCCCATGTGGGGGTGGAGCAGCTAAGAGCCCGAAGGGAGGAGATCGCTGAAGCCGGGCAACAGCTTGCCCGAGAATACGAGAAAGTCAATAAAGAGATCAGACGCCATGGAGATGGTGGGCGCGCACGCACCACTGCCCAGGCTGTACACCAAAGGATCCTCACCGACGACGGGGCTCTCCACACTTCATTGGGCGAAGCTAAAACATCGCCGCCAGAACGGCCTTACTTCACGGTCTCCCACAGCCGCGACATCCGAGGATCGCTGGGCCGCCCGAGAAATCCGCACATTGCTCAAACGTCGCGGCGGCAGACAAAGAAGAGAGAGCTCGTTGTCTCGGCGATGCGAGCTCGACACCAGCCAGCGCACGCCCTCGGTCCGTCCCGCCAAAGATGCGTCAGTTCACCAAACGCCACCAGGCGACAGGCGAGACGCTACAGTCCCAGTGCATGAACACCTCGGCCACAACCACGACGCGCGCAGCACCATCGACGCCCGTAGGCGCGCCTACAATGACTCAAGAGAAGGAGCCAGACATGGCTACCACCCGCGGCGCGGCGGACGCTACGACAGCGGCGAGGACCGGAGTCCGAGCCCCGGCCTCCCGGGACCTCAAGCCTTCGGCTGACACATCCTCAACGCCGCTTTCCCATCAAGGTATCGACCGCCCACCAACGTTCCTAAATATTCCGGTGAAACTAACCCCGGGCTCTAGCTCGAAGACTATCGGCTTGCCTGTCAAGCCGGTGGCGCAAATGATGACCACTTCATTATTCGCAACCTCCCACTGTTCTTAGCCGATTCGGCACGAGCATGGTTGGAGCACCTACCGTCCAACACCATACACAGTTGGGCGGATTTGAGGAAAATCTTTGTGGGAAATTTCCAGGGCACATACAAATGCCCCGGGAACCCATGGGACCTTAAGAACTGCCGTCAGAAGGCCGGTGAGACTCTCCGCGAGTACATCCGGCGCTTCTCACGGTAGTGCAACGAGCTTCCCAACGTCGCCGACGCCGACGTGATAGGAGCCTTCCTATCAGGGACAACCTGCGAGTCTTTAGTTCACAAACTGGGACGCAGGAGACCGTGAACAACCAAGGAACTCCTGGACATCGCGACCAGTCACGCCTCAGGGGAGGAGGCAGTCGGAGCGATCTTCGATCTCCTCGACGGCAAGGCCAAGTGGGACGAGGACGCCGGCGAAGGCGCCTCCAACCGTTCCGCCAAAAAGAAGAACAAGAAGCAACGGCACGACGATTCGCTCACAGCCGCTGCCGACCGCAAGGGTAGTCGGAAGCCCGCGGAGGGCACTCCGAACCACTTCGAAAAAAATGCTCGAGGGGCTGTGTCCGAACCACGCCTTCCCTGTGAAGCACCTGCTCAAAGACTGCGGTCTCATGCGCAAGTTCTTACTCGGGAGCACCAACAAGTGTTTTGGTGTTGCAAGTTGCGAGTGTTTTATCTGGATGTTGCATGTGTTTTCACACACATGTGTGTAAGTGTATGTTCCAAATATTTTATCTGCTTTAGACATATGTTGAGTTCAAGTGTTTCATGTTGCAAGTGTTTGGTCTTTCAGAGGTATGTTCAGAGAGTCATGGGGGCACGGTCCGAGTGCCGGGGTAAGGGGCGCGGTGAGCCAGGGACCGGCGAATGGGGCGCGCGGCGCGGTTGGGGTCCTGCGGACGGGGCATGCTCGTCCTCATCCTGGCTCCTGGGTCCCACCCGCGCAGAGAGAGAGAGGAAGGGGTTAGGGAGAAGGAGCGGCGGGCGCGGGGCGAGGCGAGACGGACGGGGTGAGGGTGCGCGTGCATGGCGGGACGAGACAGACGAGAAAGGACTGCAGCGATGCGGTGGGAGTGCGGCGCGTTTCTACTGGCCGTTCGGTACCGTCCGATGGAATCCTATCCATCGGATGTCCGGAGGCTAGCAATTTCCTTGAAAAATAGAGAAAAGTAAGTAATGTATTTGATGCTACTTATTTTGATCTTTGACCTTAGTCAAACTTATAACAATTTGACTTACAAAAAAACTCAGAAATCTTTATATTTGTCAACAGAGGGAGTACTTAGAGCATCTCCATACTCAATCTCCTATATCTAAAAAACAGCATTTAGGAGATACATGCGAAGCATCAGATCTCTTATCTCATCTTCTATACCAATAACTTTTAAGAGATCTCCCAAAAAGAAGCGTCCTTTCTCTTAAATGAAGAAGACAACCCTCTCTCCTCTGAAGAAATATAGGAGCCAAAATTTAGGTAATCCGCTACCGCAGTGTTCTCTTGTATTCTAAATTGATTTTAAGACACTGTCTAAACCAACTTATAGTAGATACATTATAAGATATATGTTGGAGATGCTCTAAGTTTGCTTGTTATCCAACTCAAGAAACAAAATCATTTGCCTGTTTTGAAGCGAAGTGAGAGGAACTTTGACTTGAAAAGAGAATAAAGGCCACATAGTTGCTCCTTCAGCACGACCCTCTAAACATACACAACCGAAAAACACCACTCTCAAGAATTGGAATACATGTCTCGTCTTGTCTCATCGAAATGACCAGGTGTCAATTTACAGGCATATATGTTACTGAAACCTGAGCTTCTCTGCATATGTACCGTAGGCTGCTGAATCAGATCGTCTCTTTCATGTGAGCCTGAACGATCGGACAGCCTGCAAAAGTATAGGGCAGGAGAAGAACGGAAACCATAAACCATCATCATAAAAGAACAGGGAGCAGAACAGAGCAGAATCAACACGGGATCGTCTCACCTTCTCGATCTGAGGCCTGTACTTCTCCGAATCGTCGTCGTCTATGTACTGCAACGAGACAGACAACAGCATTTGTTCGAAGCTGTTAATCCAGCTGAGGAAGCAGGCGTTGGCTTGCCAAGCTGTAGCAGGAGGCTCACCTGGCCTGTCACCGTGTAGAGGCGGTTGTACCAGCCGTTGAACGCCATCCCGATGGCCGAGACGATGTGCCGCCGCCGCTCGCCGGGGTTCTGCAGCGTGTACTCCAGGTAGTACAGACCTGCAGCGCGCAGTCAGTGTGCATATATATGGTCAGGTCAGGTTCAGAAGCGCTACGTTCCTTCCGTCAGTTGTGCTGTGACTGTGAGCTAGTAGTAGTACCGTTTGCCGCCCTGGAGTCGATGAGCTTGGCGGCGAGCCCCGGCGGCTTCTGCCAACTCCTGTCCAGGCCGTTCACCTGCTCTCAGACGATGGCCATGAGAACTCAGAGCACGGCTTGCATTGGTTGGTGCCAAATCAGTCAGCAATGTTGAGACAGAGCAGGCTTGAGCGAGCACGTACCAGGCCCTCGGCGAAGGAGTCGACGTCGCCGAAGGACTTGAGGCTGGTGAAGTCTGGCCCGATCCCGGTGATGGCGACGCTGACTGATTAGAGTGGAACAAGATGCACGGGCCCGTCAGCGTGAGTTCATTCATTCCCCGAATGAAAGCGGGACTGACGGTGTCGCCGAGGCGGGAGAAGAAGACAAAGCAGCAGGCGTACCGTTGGAATCGGCGGCGGCCTGCTCGGGGTAGAACGCCGTGACGGACTTGATGCCGCTGGCCTCGCCGGCGCCGACCAGCCAGCCTGCAGACACACGCACAGAGCTGGTCAGTTGCCATTGCGACCAAATTCTGCCAACTGATCGACTGATTTCGACTTATTTTGCATTGGATACAGGGAAATTGAAGCGCTCCTACAACTGCTGAAAGGGGAAGAATTGAGTACCTTGTGGAACTTGAATGCTGAACTTGTTGGCCTCATCCTTGTACGTCGTGAAGCCCTCCTGCGACTCTTACCCGCCGACCAAAACTGAAGCAATAAGCATATATACACAGCTGGAACACCAGCACTGAATGTCGCAAGGCGAGAGCGTAGGCGCTGCTGTACCGGTGGTGGCCTCGTCCGCCAGCGCAACCGCGGGGCGAGCAGCAGCGGAGCCGCAGCGGAGAGGGCGATGCCGAGCAAGGCGTCCCTCCGGTCCAGCCCCTCCACCCTGACAACCATGCAAGCTGGTGGCGCTGAATTGTGCCGACGAGCGAGGTGCGTGCGAAACTACTGTAGGAGTGTACGAGATTGACGTGTGTACCGAGCAGGGCGGCAGTGTCGGACCGTTGATGCTGCCTGCCGCAGCCGCCTGCTGCTGGGCTTGTGCGTGAACGACGACGACGACGAAGACAGGCCGCCGGCTGCGGCCGGGCAGAGGGAGGCGGTGCTGGTCACGGCAGCCATGGCGCAGCTAGCGCAGGACGCACGCACGGGATGCAGCCGGTGGCGGTGGCTGGCTGGCTGGCTCGCCGTTGTTTTCGCGGGATATTTTGTTGCAGCCGTACCGTATGTGTGGCAACGGGGCACCGATCGCCGGGGACCGCTTGTGGTCGCCGCCAGGGGCGCGAGCAAGACCGACCGAGTGCGGCCTGGTTCGTCCGATCTTGATCGGACGATTGGGCTGTCATGCCCTCGCCGCAATGCGACACGCCAACCGTAGTTTTGTTCGTGAAGCCGAGTGCGCTGCGCTGCACTATTTCGGAATTCAAATCCAGATCAGCGTACTGTGAGACAAGACAATTCATGATTGCAATCGAGAATTCTCCTGCGTGTTTGAACTGTGAATAATCAATAAATTCATGCTATGAGCGCTTAACTTCTTTTCTGAAATATTCGCAAAAAAAAAAAAACTTCTCTTAAAGAAGTGTGTTGCTCAAGCGGGCAAGCCTTTCAGAATAACATGTTAACAGCATGTTCGGGAGGCCGTATCGTATCGTGGATTATTTACTGCTGGCTGGTTTGGTGTGAGAGAAAAACACTGTTCCCCGCTGGAAATTTACGATCGTTTATGAGCAAGCGAACATGCTGTAAATTTGATCGAGCCAGTTCTCACAACTAGAGTTTGCTTCAAACAAACAACTAGCGAGAATCCTGCCAGGGCCCTGTTTGGATGAGGAGCAGGGAAACCGGCCGGTTTGGCTAGAGCAACACCGTTTCCTTCTCCTTTTCTTTCTTTTTGGTTTGACGCTTCAAATCGTGTTGTTCCAAATAGTTTTTTTGCACGTTCTTGATGTTAGCAACTCAATGTCAGAAACTCAATGGCCTAGCCCAATTCTACGTTGATTCGTTTTTTGCATGTCAACACTGGTATAAAAGATTCCCTCAAAAACACTAGTATAAAAGAACCAAATGCCATTATCACGGATCCCGCCCATCAATCGCCCATCTCTAGTTTCCTCACCAAGCACCAAAGAACAAGACGCGCCAAGTCGCCACCACGCCTCGGCATCCACACCACCAAGACAAGTGTCGGCGGGGTCGAACCGCAGCAAAGCATTGTTGTTCGAGTCAAGATAGAGTACGGGTCTCCGGTGGCTCGGGTGGACTCAAGAACACAAGAATTACAGAGAGGACGCAACGGTTTATCCTGGTTTGGGCCAATTAGTGTCCTACGTCTAGCAGCTGATGATCCTTATACTCAAAAGCACCCAAAATCGGGGGGTTTACAACAGGGTTAGCTCGGTGCTAATCCTAAGGTTGCCTCGCCGTCGGTGGATCCTTCCCCTCGTCGGAGAGGAGAAAGACGACGGGATGCAGTGGAGGAGCTCTCGGTGCCCCTCTCTGGGTTGCCTTGCTCTCGATGCTGAGCAGAGGCCAAGGAATGGAATAGAATGATATATCTTCTGATGATCGTCCCCCCTAGGCCTGACCTTATCCCTTATATAATGAGATAGGTCGAGTACATGACGGTTTGGGGGAATGAGTCTACGGTCTACATGCGCTAGAGTCCAAGAGGGCCTTTGCAAATGACGCTACATGGGACCGTAGCCTTAAGGCGTCATCCAACTGCTCTATTCTAACACTCTGTGTGTTAGGCTATGTCGGCTTGTGAAAGCTCTAGTTTGGTTTTGGTTAATTGATGAAACCTATTAGGACTAACCCTATGTTCTAAGTGTGGATTTGAGATAGGTTGGTCCAACCCAAGTGAAGGAGCTAGGTGGCACTCATGGATGGAGATGGCCACATGAAATGAAGATCATGGTGATGGTGTGAACACATGTGATGATTGTTGACGGTCGTTAACGTTCATCATAAACCATCAATATAATTTATATAAATGCATAAAAAGTATCACCAACATAGGTCTAGGGGTTTAAACTAATAAATTTCACAAGTTTTGGTGAATCTATGTTTGCAAGAGAATTTATTCAGAAAACTATCAAGGTGGACCTATTCATCAAAGTAAATCACGCTTAACCTCGACGTAAACAACTCTAGAAGACTCAAGAAGACTCTCCACTAAAGATCGAGCCGAGAGGCTAACAGGGGGCCGATCGACCCCACCCCTAGGTTGGCTGGCCTCTGGGCCCCACCTGTCAGGCTCTCCTTTCTACGTAGGTTCCCCACCGTCTTAAAGATCGCATCTATGCCGTTTATTCAAGTCAGTTTGATCCAAGGGTCTAGAATTGATGTTACCCCCTATATATACGGCCCTGTACCGCCCCTCCCTAAAGACATCTTGGAAACCCTAAATCATATCTCTGATTCATATCAAGACACACCAGGAGGATTAGGTCTAGAGCTCTCCAATGTAGTAGATTAATAGCTTGGGAGTGAGGGTCGAGTTGGGCTCATGCTCAAGTTTCGGATCTAGTCTTGGAGGCTCAACAAAGCCTTGTATCTTCACTTCTACATCTTGTAAGACTTATTATCAATTCATCATATTCCTATCTACATGGCTATTTTTTACTTTTAATATGTATCTTGCTTAGTTGAGGTTATCATTACTTTTGTGTGCGGGTTCATAGAGCACTTAGACTGCTTGTTTACCATGGTTGGGTTAAGTAGCCAAGCCGTGTGTAAGCATGGTGCTTATACGATGCTCTGTCTGTGAATACACCATGTTCTCTGGTTGTATGGTAGCAGTGGGAGGTGACAGTCCCATCTATCCTTTGTAGTCCATGCCGAATTGAGCAGGTTTTTAAATTGTAGGACCGTAGTCGCGTTAGTAGAGCTATCTTTTGCGGATGCTTTACTGTCTAAGCGGCGTCCTGAAGTGCACAAGAGTAGAGTTAGTCTTAGCTATAGTCGGATATATATATATATACTTTGATCCTATAATAAGAATATCATAGGAATCAACCGCACCCTTTGTTTTTCTGAGTTAACTAGTTTACATTTATCTTAGTGATCTATCTCCTGAGTGTCATTATACATAAATTCATATTATTACATTAACCCATACTCTAGCTATGCTGGTATGTTGATTAGTAGACATTCCTTTGTTATCCAATAAATCTTTACCCCATTGTTTTCTTGTGGTAAAATATAAACAATGATACCTGAAATAGTCCCAGTAAAATGCTATAATGGTATTCTATGCGCTTACGGAACCCTTCATATTCTATTTTCACTTATAAATACCAACCAACATTTTTGGTACCGTTACCGGAGAAACAATTGGCGTAAAGATTTAGATCATTAACATACCGCTAGCTTGAGTAGGATTACCCCTGTTCTGTTATATTATGAAATAGACAAGACAACAGATGTCGTTTTAACCTTCTAACAAGCTTCCACAAGAAAAGAAGAAACATTGAAGAACCTCACGGTGCCTAAACATTCAAGATCCATCAACATCGGAACCCTACCAACTCACAGGTTTGTATAGACATATATATATTCTCTAACCATGTGTAGATTGGAGAGAAAGGTTGACGTCATAAGAATTTAAATCACATCTCAAGTGATGGAAACAAACGCTGCACTACTGACAAATTCCATCATGTGAGTCATGGTAAGTATGATCAAGAAAGGTGAGATAGTCTTGCTCATGGACTTTAAACTTGATGAGTAGTTATCTTTTAATTATTGCGTTTCATTGCATGTTTTCTTTGAATAACCCATGCATACACTTCCGCTTAGTTTAAGTTTTCTCATTTTAAATCCATAGCATGTTTAGTTCCTTGCATACATCCGTATTGCTTGCATCTTTATTCAAAAAATAATACATTACTTACCATGATCATGCTCTTTTTCATCTCTATTTGAATAAATCTCTATAGTGCTTTCATGCTACCTTTGTCTGCTATAGTATGCTTTGGTTTGGAAGTACTTGACATACTTTCATTGGCTTTTAAATTAAGCGTGGTGCTTAGGTTGAAACGCCTTCCTTAATCAAAATTAGACATGGAGTCTAGTTTGGTTATTGAATTAAAAGTTGTGTCGGGGACCTAATACCGGGGTACCCCAAAGAGGAGGAATCAATGCACCATCGAACGGTAAAAACTCCCGAGAGCGCGGCTGTATCTCTTGCCCGAGCAAACAGGAGTCTTGCTCCGCCTCGCTCGACCCCCGAGGGCTGGGCTCGGCCCCGCCCGACGGCTGGAGGGCAACTCCGCCTCGCCCGACGGCTGGATAACAACTCACCCGACCCCCAAGGGATACACTCCGCCTCGCCCGACGGCCGGGGGACACCTCCGCTTCGCCCGACGGTAAAAGCTAGGTTTTACCTCATCCAACGACCACTGACGGACCTCGTCTTAAACCGATATCCGGAGGTTGGTTCAGCTCACCTGATGAAACGTACCCCGCATCCTCATGATGGCGACTACAGGGTAAGACAAGACATTCGGGTCAACCACAGCGACAGACGCCATGCCCTGCACCCCTGCAGAGAGGTACCGTCAGGATGTGGCAGAGCCAAGCATCTGACCTCTCCAGGCGTGGCGAGCCCGAACAAAGTTAAGGCGCTTGCTATTCATCCTACAATATTGTAGGCACCGCCAAGAACCTCCTGGACGAAGAACCCGACGCAGACATCGACAACCACTATGTTCCAAGGGCAAACCAACAATCACCACGCCACCCGACCCCCCTGGGGTGGGCTCAACAAATCTGTCGTCTGACACGCCCTTGCGCAGGGCGGATGGGACGATACCACTTGCTAAGCAAGGGCCATGGCACGCCCACGATGATCTCTGATCACCTCACTCCCGACACGGCCGCCATGATGGATAGGTCGGCGTGGGGAAGAAGGAAGGCCCGGTCCCTCGAAGGACCTTCACGCCTTAGTGCTCTTTTCCTTTGTTCAGAAACCCTGCTCCCCTTGACCTATAAAAGGGAGGGCGGGGCTCCCCACAAAAGGGGGATCGATTACAACAGTTAACACACACACACACGCTTTTCTACACCAAGCTCCAAAGCAGAGCTCTTGGCGTCCTTCCAATCACTCCATCGTGGAC